TGACGTTGTCAACAGCAATATCACAAACATATCTTCTTGCAGTGTTAATATTTGGTCAAAAATACAGTAAAAATAGTAATATTGTGAAATATTATTACCATTTAAAATAACCGTTTTCTATTTTAATGTTTTTAAGGTTTATTCCTGTGATAAAAAAGCTGAATTTTCAGCAGCATTTATTCCAGTCTTCAGTGTCACATGATCCTTCAGTGTCACGTGATCCGAAACCATTCTAATATGCTGATTTGATGCTCAAGAAACATTTTAATATTATCATTGTTGAAAACCACTATTCTGCTTAATATTTTTGTGAAAACATGATCAAAAAAATTCAGGATTCTTTGACGAATAGAAAGTTCAAAAGAACAGCATTCATTTGAAATAGATTTTTTTTTTTACATTCTAAATATCTTTACTTTCAATTTTCAAATTAATTTATCCTTGTTGAATAAAAGTATTCTTTTTTTTTTTTTTTTTTAATGGGAGCGATTTAATTTGGACATGTTGCAATACTTCTATACTGAATAACCATATTAAAATGTACCGTACAATTATATCACAAATCATACCACATATAGGAATGCATGATTTTTACTTTTTTTTTTGTTTGTTTGTTTTTGTTTTTTAATCCGTATTGGCCAAGATTGGATATTTAATTTTGCTAGCTTATTTATTTTTACATTTAGATGAGCTTTGCCATCATAAAACAATGTTTAATATCACTGTTCAATGTGATTTTTTTAGCAAGCCTCAAAATGAGTATGCATTTTCAATATTGTACATTATAATGCCTAAATTAGCTCACTGGTATGGTCCAGACTTTCAATATTAGTGTACCATATGACTTATTATAAGAACATTAAGAGTATAGCTAAAGAGATCCTGCTTTGTGGCCCCTGAGCTTCCCAATGTCGAGCATACAGTTCTGCATTAAACTAGGAAATAGAAGACATGACCTCAACATTTCTTTGCCGCAGAATGATGTAATGTACCTGCATGCAACTGAATGAAAAATGTAAATGATCAAAAAAAGGTTTGAGAGGAAACCATGTGGGCAACAGAATGAAATGATGTTGACTCATAATTAGGGTTGGGTATATCCTTTTAATTTTATCGATTCCGATTCAGATTCTGCTTATCGATTACGATTCTTTTCGATTGCCAGTTTCGATTCCAATGTGATTAAATAATGATATCAAACATTTATCCTGTGTCTCTTTTTTGCAAACCATTTATTGGAGCTGAATACCATGAACAAAAATCAACAGGCTACATAAAAACTGGACTCTTTAAGAGCTGGTTGTGTGCAAAATAGAACTGCATTATTCTGGATAAATTTAGTTGTTTTTTTTTTCCCCAATGGAAGTTTTGGTTCTCTCATGATTCCAAAGAAAAAACATTAGACAACTAAACAAAATCCCATGTAATTTATGAACATGTAAATTACTCACTTAAGATGTACTTGTTTCATTACTGGATGAATCCGAGTTCTTGAACGAATCTCTTGTGATTCAAAGACAAATACATTTTAACAGACCCTTTTCGCCACCTACTGGCGTAACAATGTAATTGATAATCTTCATTTGAAGCGTCAAATTATTTTCAAAAGGTGATTTATTCTATTTTAATCACTACCATACACATCGTACACAG